CCCATCATGACAGATAGAGGCAGTAAAGGAATACATGGAATGCCATAAGGAAGTGGCTGGTATATTCTACAGAAACATCTAGGCAAAACATACTAACTCGAGAACCCGAGGTCAAAATGGGAACTATTTCCAAAGGTGGTGGAAAATGACAGAGCTAAGATCATGTGGGACTTCCAGGTACAAACAGCCAAAATGGTTGTGGCCAACCAAATGGAAATAATCATAATAAGCAGCAGAGAACAACTGTAGTGATTATTGCGGCCACCCCAAATGATACAAACATCAGGGGAAAAAAACACGAGAAATTGGAGAAATACCAGGGGCTCAGGGAAGAACTGGGAAGAGCCTGAAAGGTGAAGACAACTGTAGTGACTGTGGTCAGCACTAGGGTCAGTAACCCCTACATTTTAAAGGTGGCTACTACAGATACCTGGAGAAACATCAGATATCTCGGTCCAGATATGTGCTTGTTCTAGCTAAAATACTGCAAAGAACCTTCAAGCTCCCAGCCCTCTAGTAAAGGAACCAAGTATGAGATGAAAATGCCATTCTTAACTGCTACGCGTTGTTCCAACACCTTTAACTGCTAAGCCTTGATCCAAAATCAACCCTATTGTGTTCAGATGGAGCAGCCAATGTATCCCTCACCAGTTTTACAGCTCTGTTCAAGGCGAAGTTACACTTTTAGAAAAGTAGCTCAAAAAAAGAAAGAAAAGTAGCTCAAACTAACACTGTAAGAAACATCTGTTAACACCTTTGTTGCGCAACCTTCCATATACTTGAATTGTTTATAATTTACATTCATCCAAGCTTTCCTCTAAGTGGGATTACAATTTTGAAGGCAGACTTTACACCAAGGCTTTCTTGAGATTTCATTTAAGTTTAATTTTAAAAAAGGGGGTCACAAGCAAGAGTACAAATAAGATATCAGTCAGTCAGTAAAGGCAGAATATATTTGAAAACACTTCTCCAAAATCAACAAAACAATATAGAAAGGTTATAGATGTCCTGAACGTGGTACTCTCGAGCAGTTGAGAACTTATGGACACTGAAGTAAATTCGGTGAATGCAGAAATCTTTTTTTTTTTTTTTTTTTAGGTCACCACTTCTTAAAGACTAATTATGTACTAAGATATAGTTGGGATTTCAGGACTGGGTCCCAGGGGGACATTATGAGGAGAGCTCATCAGGGATAGATGCAGAGGTAAAGAATAGTTATGTTGTACAGAGTTAAGTGGGTACAAGTGGGGCAAAAAAGATCAGCGATCCAGCAAAGTGTGCCTACCATTGCAATTTAGATTGGAAGGAGATTTGTGTGTGGAGGGGTTGTAATGTTTGTATCTTTTTTTCCAGTTGGTAAAGAGAAGCCCTGGCACATTGGAGTGTGGACAGGGAGGTGAGTGAATTCATGAAAATGGAATCCAAACATCAGCAGCTATTACAGAAGAGCTGTGGTGAACCCAAAAGCTCTGACATTAGAGGGGATTAGATCAGTGTCAGAGCTTTAAAGCGAGCTTAAAACAAAGCAAAATGAATACCTGATTACCTCTCATGTGAACAGAAAAAATCTGGAAATTGCCCAAGGGAACCAGCAGCTTTTAGCTACTCCTGATGAGCTTGCCAATCACACCATAATAGGAGAGGAAGAGAAGTAGAGGCCCACATACATTAACTTAGACACAGTTCTGTAGATATGACAATAATATCCTAAAACTGATTAGGAGACTTTGTTACATTTTAAATTCCCCAAACTTGAAAATTTGAGTAATACTTTTCGAAGTTTGATATTTATTTAATCAAAACATAAGCCAGTTTGGACCAAAACCTTCAGGTGTATGATACTGGAGTGGACTCACAACACTGAGGCTCTGTATAAAAAAGGTCAGAGCAGACTCTTCCTGCTGAGGAGACTGAGGTATTTTTTAGTGCAGGGGGTGCTTTTAAAGACCTTCTATGACTGTCGTGGCATCAGCCATCTTCTATGGACCTTTCCCTTGGAACTGTGGCTTATCTGTAGCTGAGGGAAAGTGGCTGGATAAACTGATCAGGGAGGCCAGCTCTGTGATTGGAAGCCCTCTGGACTCAGTGAAGGAGGTGGGAAAGAAAAGGATCCTAACTAAATTAACATCTCTGTTGGAGAATGTTTTCCACCCCATGCATGAAGCTGTTGCTGAACTGGAGAGCTCCTTCAGTGACAGATTGTTGCACCTTAAATGCATCAGGGAGCATTATCACAGATCCTTCCTCCCAGCAACTGTAAGAATTTATAACCACCACTGTCCCCAACAACCTAAATCAGTTGTTAGATTCATGCTGATTTTGCACAGTTTCTGCCTTAGTCATTTAAAAACATGATGCTGTCATTTTGCACATCTCTGATGTTGCTGCAATTTGAAAAAAATTCCATTACTGTAAAAATGTCCAGACCTGTATATTATTTCATTCTCCAGGTGCACAGTTTTTATATTGTTGAAACACTTTACAGTACAGTATTTTATTGTCTATGTTTTAACTATTCACTAGTATATTATTCTTTAAATGGTCCACATTTGTGGACCATATAAAATCATTTTGTTGCTGTAAACACCAGAATTTCTTATTCTGGGACAATAAAGGGATTTTCTATTCTATTCTATAAAAATAAATGAAAGAATATTTTTACATTATTAAAACTTAGGTTTAAGGTTCTCCTATATGATTCCTGAACTATATATTCAACTATTCATTTAAAATGTGAGATGTATAAAGATCAGCATAGCAGATAAAGAAGTTTTTTTGAGCATTTTTATTTATTGGCATATTACTTTTCTCTTAAGAGAAATAAATATAATATGCCAATAGTCTGCAAAAACTGATTTGTTTAGTATAATTTAAAAAGCTTTTCATACAAAAAGCTAGGAATATATTCTCCATTTTTGCTGTTGTTTTAGTTGGATTGATAAATCATTAGCACACCTTTAAAGGAAAGCTTCACACCAAATAATCTCAAATTAGCTCACTTCCTCTCTTTCATGACCTCTCATGGAGTATATTACACACATAAGGCTTTTATCCCTGTGCTTCTATAAGGACTTACTGTCATGGAAAGGTGTTGGGCTATAATAGTAGCCCGATCGTAATAGGAAGCTGTTAACTGTCCAATCCGTCTTGAAAGGCTATTACAATCAAGTGTGTCTGTGTCTGTGTGTGTGTGTGTGGGTCATTGCACTCAAATCAGGTCCTGCTCAGCACCGTTTTGATTTCCCCGCTGAAATCACCAGCTGTACCTGCTGAGTAGCGCAGACTTGCACACATGTTGTGTTTAATTGTAATGGGGCTTTTTGGGAGCCACATAACGCAAGCTGTCCGTTCCACCATCACAGCTAAAATGAACAGGGAAATCAGATGTCAGCGTGTGTGAAAAGAAGTACCCATCTCTACTGTCTGTACAACTTTTCTCTTTTTGCTTGACTTTACTTTACTCTTTTCCTGCTTTTGGGATCTTTTTGGTCACTATATGCATGATAAAAACCCTCTGTTGTCTTAGGAATGGGGGAATTTTATTAAAAGTCAGACATCTGTGAAGAAATAGGTCTATTTCTAATTCCCAGCATGGAGGAGAATAATGACATGGCAAGAAAATAAGGAAACCAAGGGATGCCTTGATATTTATCTTTACTGTTTTGTGTTTTATCTTGTGATGGCCAAAACAGAAGTTGAAGCCATAAAGATCACTAAATAAAGAAAATCACCAGGTACATGCACCATCTGTTTCCAATTGTTTTTCTCCAGTGCATTTCTTCCTTGTGCATCAAGGGTCATCTCCATTGAAAATATTGACATTTTCACACATCAAAACCAAAACCATAGCATTTAATCGGGATCTATCTGAATATATTGGTAGATTGGGAACATCTAGACAAACAGTTTAAAGGTTACACAAGAGTGTAGAGAGGTTTAAAACATGGCTATGTCATTAAACTACACCCAGACTTTGAATCACAGAGCACTGTCCAATCCGTTTTTTTTTTTATGGGAATTGTATGGCACAACTCAATACTTATAAAGACATGGCTATTCACTTTAAACAGGGGTTGGGGGTACTAACTGAATAGGCATGAAGATACCATAAATCCACAGAAGCTCTGAAAATATACAGCTCAGGGTGGGACAATCTGTCAAGAGGACATGTATACATCATGCAGCCCACAAATCTGAGCTTTACGATGTCCGAAGTTACACATGGGGGTTGCAGGTCATGCTGTGGGAATTCTTCTCTCCCAAAATGGAAACGCGGCGGTCAGAATAAATGAGAAGCTGCATCACAGATGCCCTCCATCCAATAACAATGAGCTTGAGGTATTTCACAAACTTAGAATGTGAAAAAAAAGTTTCAGTCAAACATATGCAGAACAGCTAGAGGCAGACAAAAATACCTGCATCTGTTTTTAAAGACAATGGGCCACCTAGAGTTTTGACTCCAGCTGACTGAATGGGAACACAACATAATTCTTTGTCTTTTGCTTTTGTAAAACAAGATTAGAAATGATGTAACTGTGATCTCATATTGCATTTACTTGTAAGATTTCTGAGAAAGATGTTAAATCATTTCAAGAAAAGCTCCAGGGTCTGTCAGTCCCTATTTTCACTCAAAATTTAAACAAATCTCTGCAGCCCGGTGAGGTTTCCTTGCGCATCAAACTTTCTACCATTCTTCCCAAGAAATATCATAACCATCAAGGGTTTAAATGACTACAGGCCTGTAGCCCTGACATTTATGATGATGAAATACTGAGTGACTAAAGCTTAAGCATTTGAAGGAGAAATAAGGCCACCTCCTGGACACCTGGAGCTGTCTTACCATGTAAACAGGTCGACAGATTATGCAGTCAACTTGGGATTACACTTCAGCACTCCCAAGACCACCTAGAGATGTAGACCCAGATCCTATTTGTAGACCTAGGTGCAACCTTTAAAAGGATAAATAAAGAAGAAGAGAGCAGCCCAGCAGAGACACCAGAACCAGGAACCCTGATCAACAATCAGAACCAACACACTGGATCTATTTAGCTTTACACAACTCTGCAGACGATCCAGGACCAACCCAAACTCCAGCATGTAGTGGCTGAGTGAATGTGGTCTGGACTCTGTGGAGGAGAGTTCTGGTTTTTGAGACACTGTAGAAAGACAGAACACCTGCTCCTTGATCCAGGTCCACTCCTACTCTGGAGGAACCAGGACCTGAGATGGAAGTCCAGATGTCGTTTTGACCAAATTTATAACCATCTTGGGAACAATTTAATGCCCAAGATTTTTCATTATGTCCAAATCCACATTCATTCCCCCATCCTGTTCTGCTGATATTTTTGTATGCTACTGCTACATAAACCTCCCCCCTCCACTCCACCTCCCAGTAACAACGTCCAGTCAGACTCTCTCTATTCAAAACCTGAGACCAATCGGTGAATCTGTCTGGATAACTAGAATAAGACTGAGGTTGACTCTTCCGTGTCACCTTCCTGTTTCCCTCTGATAGTGACAGATTTCTGTGTGCTGTGTTTGGATCCAGTGTGATCTGACATGAATATCGTAATAACCCAGCTCTGCTCTCTGGTTCTGGTTCTGCCTCAGTCAGTGTCAGGGAGATCTTTGTCCATGTGTCTCTCAGGACGTCCTGTAGTTTGTCTCTGAGCTCTGACACAGCTGCTGTCACATCCTCCCAGCGTCTCAGGGGACGGATGTCGATGCCGGCTGAGGGTGTAGATTCCCTGAGGTCTGACAGTGAGGGGTAGCTGTGGAGAAACCGGTTGTGATCCTCTGTGTCTGAGAGCTGCTCCAGCTCAGCGTTTTTCCTCTTCAGCTCACTGATCTCCTGCTCCAGCCTCTCCTGAAGCTTTTTGACTCGACTGACTTCAGCTTCCTGCTGGGATCTGATCTGCTGCTTCATATCAGACCTACTTTTCTGGATGAGTCGGATCAGCTCAGTGAAGATCTTCTCACTGTCCTCCACTGTTTTCTCAGCAGAGCGATTGATTGCTGCCACCTCCTGCCGAAGCAGCTTCACATCTCTCTCTCTGTCCTGGACTCTCTGCTGGATTATTCCTTGTCTCTCCTGCAACTCTCTCTGCCTCTCACTCCTTTCTGCTGCAGCTGAGACTGTGTCATGGCCTTTATGTCTATCCATGGAGCAGAGATAACAGATAGACTTCTGATCAGTACGGCAGAACATCTTCATCACCTCATCATGATGAGAGCAGATGTTCTCCTGGAGGTTCTTGGACGGCTCCACCAGGTGGTGTTTCCTTAATGGAGCGGAATTCTTGTGAGGCTGAAGGTGTTTTTCACAATAAGAGGCCAGACAGACTAAACAGGACTTGAGGGCTTTCAGTTTCCTTCCAGTGCAAACATCACAGGCCACATCTTCAGCTCCAGCATAGTAGTGGTCAGCAGGAGCAGTTTGGAGTCCAGTTCTCTTCAACTGCTCTACTAAAGCTGCTAACATGGTGTTCTTCTGCAGTTTAGGCCTCCGTACAAAAGTTGTCCTGCACTCAGGGCAGCTGTGGATTCTTTTCTGATCCTCTCCATCCCAGTGGCTTTTAATACAGTTCATACAGTAGCTGTGTCCACAGGAAGTAGTTACCGGATCCTTCAGGATATCTAGACAGATTGAACAGGAGATGTTTTCTCTGTCCAGCTGGTTCTGCTCCATTTATGTTCTCTCAGTGACTGTGTGAGTTTCACTTCCTGAAAAGAGAAACAGTTCTGAGCTCTGGGTTGTGTTTCACAAAGCAGGTTTAACTAACTCTAATCCACAACTCTGAATTGTTCTAGCCTCAGGTTAGAAACAATGATTAGATGAGTCACCATGACAACAGGCAACAGGAAGTGCCTATTTCACCCCACTTGAACTAGAGATTTTAATGCAGAAATTATAAAGAAATGGAGAAGGTGTTAAATAGACAGAGAAACAGAAATACAGCTGCAAAGGAGAGGAGGATGGCAAAGGAGAAGATGGTTGTTCAAGTTAATGTATAAGTTTTAGTCCCTTTTGTTATTTATATTTATTAAAAGCTCTCTCCTCTCAGCTCTCGGACTGGAAATCCCCTGTGGCGGAGACAACAGGTTAGTAATCAGCAAGAGGAAAAACTAGAGAGGGGGTGAGGCTGGATCACTAACCTCTTACTGGGTCTCAGAGTTGGCGGTACTTACCGTGATGGGTCCGGGGCAGGAGTCGGTTTGAGGACGGGGCTTGTGAAAGCGGTGGCCGTTGAGCAGCGAATGGTTTGCAGAGGACTAAGACCAATGAGCTCCAGACAGTCCAGTTACAGATTCCAGGGATTGTGTCCAAGCGACGGTATAGAGGGGCAATCCGGAAAAAAGGTTCAGGTCCGATCCAGTGTCCGTAACTGACAGGTTCAGAGACACAAAGGGGGTAGGCAGACTCGGTAACTAACAGACTGAGTGGGGGTCAGGCTCACAGGCTGGCAATCTTAGGCAGAACTGAAACAGAGGTCCAGAGGTAGATCAGGTTTGGTTTCTAGGCAGGCAGACAGAACCACATAAGGGAACAGGCAGGCTCAGTGAAAACAGACAGAAACAGGTCAGGTAACAGGTTTGCAGGCAAAAAGGTTAGAAACGCTTGAAGGTACTCAGTGGCAAGTCTGAGACGATGTGGCACTGGGAACAGATCCAAATGGGGTATATATGGAGGTGGAACCACTTAGTGTTAATAGCAGGCAGGGTGGAGTGAGCAGGTGTTCCGAGTTGGAGATTAAGCCTGCACCAGTGCCGAGATCGTCACAATGTTGGTTACATAATATAATATATCTAATAAATATTTAACAAACTATCCCCTTACTCACAAATCTTAAATGAAAACTGACTTTTTGTCACAGATAATCTCCTGGATGATCAATAAAACAGGAGATTTTAGAGAAGAATTATTGATTTAATATCAACTGAGACAAAAAAAATATCTGTCTGTAATTTTGAATGATTTACAGGGAGTTTTATATTTATTAAGTCAAACGGCACAGGAGCTGGATTGTCTCCCCATTTCTGCTTTTCTAATTAAAACATGCACCAAAGAATTGTGGGAAATTCACATCACCAAAATCTGCTTTGATGCGCTCTTATCTAACGTGTGGATCTAGGGCTCATGGGGGGGGGGGGCAAATACTGCTCTGGAGGATTGGGACAGACTACACACTGGAACCCTCAGCAGGAACAGAGAGTTAAAGTATGCAGGCGGCAGGAGGGTGATTATTGGGACTGGACCTCTGACTGATGAGTCAGCATTATTCCACTTTTATCAACAAGCTCAAATCACCCATGAACTTTGATCTGCCATAAACCAGTTAAAGATCAAATGGAGTCCAGTATAGGAGTCCGATCCAGAACCAGGACCTGATGTCAGAACTCTAGTCTGAGAGTTTTCCAAGAGATAAATAGAACATTATAGTCAGAGTTGGTCTGTTGGAGCAGAAAGCAGCAGCAGATGGGATGGAAGTGTAGAGTGGGATTTATTGATGGTAGGGACAACCTGCAGCTCCTCAACACTAACTTACAGCCTGATCCCATCAGATTACTCTACAATCTGATGGGGTCAGGCTCATGTCTCATAGATTAAATTAAATCTAAATCTTAGCTTTGAAATCTGAATAATAAAAGATGGACTCACTCAGTTTCTTCTGTGAACTTCTTCACTCTGCAGCTCTGCTGTCTGAACCAGGTCTGCGTGGAAGAGAAACTCCCGGACTTCTTTGCTGTCGATCCTCTGAGTCTGAAAGCTGCTGTTACTCTAAAAGCAGATTTAATGTTCAGCTCACAGATCAAAGATCAGCTGCTATGAGTTTATATTGTAATATCGCAGGTAATTCACTCTGGTTGTGTGCAACAGAAAAGGACCACACCATTGATTATCAGGAGCTTAACTTTTACTTCCTTCATGCAGGTAGCACCAGCAGGCTAACAACCTACTACATGTGCGCATGCACGCATCCTCACAGGTCTTAAAGGAACAGAGTTCATTCATTCATCACATATATGACTTCAACATTTTCAATGATTATCCTGCAGAAGCTTCCTGCTGCCAATCGGACCATCAGAGAACACTCTCTGGTCTCTAATGGTACAAAAATAGACAAATACTCTTTCACAACAGACCAGAACTAATTATCACCTAAAATTATCAAACAAAATAAATCCAGAATAATCCACAGTTAATGATAGTCAATCTAAATGTCTTTAAGCCTGGCCTAGGCCCGTAACTTCTTCTATGCATGAGGCCCCAGGACTCCATGCTGCTGCACAGGAACCAGTTTCCAGTTGCAGCTCCAAGTCTGGCACTGGGAACCATGGAGCTATGAACTGACACAGAAACTAAGCTGTTAGTGGATCTGAAAAAATCAGTCAATAAAATCCTGTTTCATTGCCTTCAGATTTTCAGCAAAAAAATTTACAGAAATAGTTTGAATCTTAGTTAATCTAAACAAAAAGTACATTTAAGTTAGATTTCATGTCAGACAGGAAGAAAAAATGATGTTAATGAGCTGATTTGAAATTATTTTAGAAAATAATTCACTTTTAGGAGTGGTTCTATTTAACTTTCCTTTTTCTTTTTCCTTCAGTAATATTCTAGTGAGAATATCGCTGCTCTTACTGAGTAAAAGTTCTGGTTCCTTTACCCACCACCTGGCAAAAAAAAAAACAACGGGGGCAGCAGACTAAGCAGAGACTCCCAGATTTCCCTCTCCGCAGACACCTCCTCCAGCTCTGTTGGGGGAAGCCCTAGTCTCTCCAGCGTGTCCTGGGTCGTCCCCTGGGCCTCCTCCCAGTGGGACATGCCTGGAACACCTCCCGAGGGAGGCGTCCAGGGGGCATCCGAAGAAGATGTCCAAGTCACCTCAACTTACTCCTCTCAATGTGGAGGAGAACCGGCTCTACACTGAGCCTCTCCCGAATGACCGAGCTCCTCACCCTATATCTAAGGGAGAGCCCAGCCACTGTGCGGAGAAAGCTCATTTCAGCCGCTTGTATCTGGGATCTCATTCTTTCGGTCATGATCCAGATTTCATGACCATAGGTGAGGATAGGAACGTAAACCAACCCGTAAATTGAGAGCTTTGCGTTTTAGCTCAGCTCTGTCTTCACCACGACAGATGCAGCGTCCGCATTATTGCAGCAGCTGCACCGATCCGTCTATCGATCTCCTGCTCCATTCTTCCCTCACTCGTGAACAGGACCCCACTTGAGGCAGGGACTCTCCTCCATCCTGAAGGGGACAAGCCACCTTTTTCAGGTCGAGAACCATAGCCTCGGATTTTGAGGAGCTGATTCTCATCCCAGCCGCTTCACACTCGGCTACGAACCGCCCCAGCGCACTTTGTAGGTCTTGGTAGGAGGGAGCCAGCAGAACTACGTCATCCGCAAAAAGCAGGGACGAGATCCCCTGGTCCCCAAACCAGACCCCCTCCAGTCCTCGGCAGGGCCTAGAAATCCTGTCCATAAAAGTTATGAACAGGACCGGTGAAAGAGGGCAGCCCTGTCGGAGTCCAACATGCACTGGGAACAGGTCAGACTTAATACTGGCAATGCGAACCAGGCTCCTGCTATGGCTTGTACAGAGAACGGATGGCCCCTAATAAAGGGCCCCCGACTCCATACTCCTGGAGCACCCCCCACAGGGCAGCACGAGGGGCACAGTCAAATGCCTTCTCCAAGTCCACAAAACACATGTGGACTGGTTGGGCAAACTCCAATGAACTCTCAAGCATCCTGCAGAGGGTGTAGAGCTGGTCCACTGTTCCACGGCCAGGACGAAAGCCACACTGCTCCTCCTGCAGCCGAGGTTCGACGATCAGCCGGACTCTCCTCTCCAGCATCCTGGCATAGGCCTTTCCGGGGAGGCTGAGAAGTGTGATTTCCCGATAGTTGGAACACACCCTCCACCGGTCTGCCAATCCAGGGGGACTGTCCCCGACCTTCACACGATTTTGAAGAGACGTGTCAGCCATGACACCCTGACAACATCCAGAGCTCTAAGATACTCAGGATGGATCTCGTCCACCCCGAAGCCTTGCCACCATGGAGTTTTTTTGACCACCTCGGTGACTTCAGGGTGATGAACGAATCCAGCCCCAACCACCCCGTCTCTTCTTCCCCCATGGAAGGTGTGTCTGTCGGGTTGAGGAGATCCTCAAAGTATTCCTTCCACCGCCCGACAATATCCTCCTTCAAGGTCAGCAGCTCCCCACTCCCACTGAAAACAGTGTTAGTGAAGCACTGCTTTCCCCTGTGGAGGCGCCGGACGGTTTGCCAGAATCGCTTTGAGGCCAACCGATAGTCCTTTTCAATGGCCTCTCCGAACTCCTCCCAGGCCCGAGATTTTGCCTCTGCAACCGCCCGGGCCACGACACGCTTGGCCTCACGGTACCTGCTTGCTGCTTCAGGAGTCCCACAAGCCAGCCAAGCTTGATAGGACTCCTTCTTCAGCTTGACAGAATCCCTTACTATCGGTTTCCACCACCGAGTTCGGGGATTGCCACCACGACAGGCACCGCAAACCTTACGGCCACAGCTACAGGCAGCCGCATCGACAATAGAGCCAGAGAACACAGCCCATTTGGACTCCATGTCTCCAACCTCCCTCGGAACCTGAGAGAAGCTTTCCTGGAGGTGGGAGTTGAACACGTCCCTGACCGAGGGTTC